TCCTTCAAAGTCTTTTATTATCGACCCAGAGTTTTATAGTACTTTCGTTAAGGCTGAAGAAAAATTTGAACAATTACCAGATAATGTCACTAAAATAAAGTTTATTAATAAACTTCACCAAATAACAGATGCACCATTATCTGAGCCTGTCAAGTTGCCACAAAAAGTGATACAAAAAGGTCATCTTTCAAGTACTAAGCGAGGATTACTTCTAACTGAGTGTCAAGATGCTATCACAAAAAAAAACAAAAAATGCTAAATAATATTCCCAAACTTAAGAATAAGCCTATTCAGCAACCACATATACCATTAAAACAAACTTTTATCTCTTGTTCAAGTTCTAGACTATATGAGACCAACATTCCCAAATTTATGCATGAATATATTTCTGCATATCTTGATGTAGCTGCAGATGGTAATTGTGGTTTTTGTGTTATAGCTATATCAATTGAAAAACCTGAAGACTTCTGGCCAGATATTCGAAAACTTATTTATAATGAACTTTGTAGTCGGAAATCCTATTATATTCAACTTTTTTTGGAGAAAGAAAAAGAGTATAATGAAATCTTGCATGCAACGCAGTGGAAATCTGGCCCTTGTAATAGTGAATATTGGATGGTTATGCCATCTTTTGGATATATTATTGCCAATATCTTTCAACGACCTGTTCATTATTTTAGCAAGCTTATTTCTCTTACATTTCTCCCTGACAACATACCATTGAACAGAAATACATCAATTGCTTTTACTTATATTTTTGAAAGATGGCACTTTATTGCCATAAAACTCAAACCAAACGTTCCTGTTCCTCCCATTGTACAGGGGGTGATCAAAATTTACTGAACGATTTGTTTGTGCTGCAATAAAATTTTTTTGCACATATTAACCTCCCAAAATCTATCCCAATTTAGAATACTGGAGATGATCTCGTCATATGTATATATGCATTGATACTCAACCCTGCATATTTCTTTAAAAAATCCAGTTAACATAATACCAATTTTGAAAAATGCTTTTTCGTGTCAGCAAAAAATAAACTAGCCTTCTCACAAGTTTAAAAGTGATACCAATAGAACAAGATCAACTATTTGAACACGATAATATTTATTTTTTTGGTAATTAAATTACAAATAAGGTTCTAACAGCTATCAACTTAAAAACTTTCGCTTAAGGCTTTTATCATAGGATTAAAGGTATAGTTTTAATATTAGCGAACCTTTTAAGACTAAATTAACATTAAAATTTTATAAGGAACATTTTTTTATTAATGCGCAGTAGGTAGCTTTATAGGCAATATTTCAAGTTATGCTCATTTTTTGTATTGTATAGGCCTTTACGTATACTTTCTTGTGTTGCACCTGATTTAAACTCTTATCAGCCAACTAAATTTTATAAGAAAAAATTTAGACTAACAAAATAATAATGATAAGCAATTTTGTTTATTACGAATAAACTCAATAAACGTAATATTTTTTACAGCCAGAAAGTATTATGATTATGGGTTTTCTAAGCATTTAGAATATTCTATTGTCTTTTAAAATGATTATAATCACCTCCAATTTATGCAATAGCTCAAAGTTTTTATTAATACTATCGAGCTATTTGTTATTATTTGATTCATTATATTTAAAATTTTTCTGGATTCAGAGTTATAAAAACTTTTTTTTGCTCAAATAAATAATCAAAGTTATAGTTTTTCAGAAGAGCATTAAAAATAAAGTCTACAATTACATTTTTTTGATTAGTTTTTATAATTTTATTTTAATTTTCATCTTTTTTTTCATTTATTATTAGTAGAAAATCGGTTATGGCAATCGATGTATATTTTTAGAATAGTGCTTATTGAATTTTATATGCTTTTTAAAAAAATACTTAGTTTGTCAAGATGTTTTTTATTTTGAAAAATCGAAGAAAATAAATCACTAAATCAATCATATGATTTTTGAAACTTTTTTTGGGTGGCAATTTTACCCTGGTCAACACAATCTAGGCTATAAATCCGCACTTACTAAATTTACCGTTTTGAAAAGGGCTAATCTACTAATAAGTCAACTGATTGATGTAATAGAGCATGAGTTTTGTAATCAATTTATGCATAATAAGTAATTTTATTAACGTTAAGCATATCTAGCAAATTATATCGGCACTAATATATGACACTAATATTTAGTTGAGCTACCCTCAGCATTATAACATACCTTACCCGATTGGATATACTATTGACTAGCCCATGATAATATCTGGGTGGAATCGAATTCCAAGTAGCTTTAACCTTTTTTTCCAAATCTTCAATGCTTGTAGATTTATCCAAAGAACTGCGTAAATGGCTTTCAACCTCCTGCCAAAGGTTCTCTAATGGGTTCAAGTTTGGGCTCTGCGGTGGCCAGGGTAACATAGAAATACCAGCATTATTAAAAAAATCTATAGCTTATCTGGATTTGTGAGAGGGTGCATTATCTTTTTAAAAAATATCTTTTCTATTAGAAACTAGTTGATGTATAGCGGAGATACCATATTTTCTCATAAGTTGTATATATACTCACTAGTTATACGGCCATGAATTGAAATAATTGATTCTAATCCATGCCATGAAAAACAACCCCAAAATATATGACCAGGACTATGACCCACAGTAGGAACAAGACATGATTTATCAAATTCTTTAGCAGGGGTATGCCAAACTCTGATATTATGACTTGACATAAATTGTCTAAAAAAAGACTCATTTGACCAGATGATATTTCGCCATTGGTGTGTCAACCAATTTAGGTAATCTTTAGCCCAAGCATATCGTATTTCTTTATTTTTTTTAGAAATTAGTGGTTTATAATGAGCAACACATGAACGAAGACCAGTTTTTTTCAAAGCACGACATATTGTAGAAATGGAGACAGTTTGATTTTTTTCCTTATTCCATAATTCTTGTATTTCACGAGCACTTAGATGATAATAATTAGTAACTTGTATAACAAGTTTTTTAAGTTCTTCTAGTGCGGGTGTATCAAAAATAGGCTTTCGGCCTGGACGTTTTTTCACTACGGTAGTTTCTACTTCTGCACGTTTTAAGATATCATGAACTGTAGTCTTTTCACATTTAACATTTCTAGTGATAGTTGAATATGATTCACCGCGATTGCGACCATACAAGATCCCACCATGTTGTAAAGTGGTTAATTTTTTTTTCTTGGCCATTGAATTATAAAAACCTTAAAGGTTAGAATTATTTTTCAAAGTTCTTTCCTTTTTTTATAGAATTTTTATTTTAATTTAGTTCATAGTATCATAATATTTCAGATTTACTGTCGAATATAGTAAGTTAAATTTTAATTTATTAAACTTTATAGTCATAATGAGTTATTATGATTGGTGTATACTAATTAATATTATAAAATAGACGATCTGCTATATTATAATTTAAATAACTTTAACTATTATATAACTATAGGTTAACAAATAAAAACTTAATTTTGACATAATTTTAGTCTAATAAAATGATTATAGTATTAGGTAGGATCTTTTTTTTATTTTACACTTTATTTCTATATGTACTATTAACATGAGTGCTATTTTTAAAATTAATGTACCTGCACTTGCCAAACCCTGGTGTCACAGATACAAATGACCATAGTTGTAATGTGATCAAACATAACTCAACAGTGTATAATCTATAGACAGTTTCTATAGATTGTATGATGGTCAGAATTAGCGTTAGTATTAGGATAGACAAATTTTGGCTGTTTTAGTCAATGGTGCTACTGTATAGTGCTGTATAAAGTACCCCGAGTACTATTCAAGAAAGCCAGTCTAGATTGAATAATACCCCAAAATATTGAGAGATAAGAGGATAATACAAATAATCGTTACTGGTCAATATATACCTTGCTATTAGACGTATCAAACCAAATGAAATAATTGTGTTTTTAATAATGAAATTGGGCCACAAATTGCTTGTCAAAAAATAGGAAATACTATTCCGGGGCACTATATGCAGCACTATATAGTATTCGTAAGAACTGTCTATTTTGCAACCAGAGACCCAGAAAATTTTAGATTTTATTTATAGGATTTAAAGTTCATATAAATAAAATCCAAAATTTTCCGGTCTTTGTTTGCAACCTACTGATTCAGGATCCAAGACGCATGATCACAAAAACTTTCATAATCAAGACCGATATATATAACGTCCAGACACCCAGTTCAGAATTAAAATAAGAAATAGATCCAATTCAAAAGAGTAAACTAAAATAATCTTACCAAGATGCCCAATAATAACTTGATAGTGTGAAGAACCTAAAATAGACAGATTTGATTATAAAAAAGTTAAAATAAATTTAATAAATAAAAAAAAGAGGCTTAGCTTTAGCAATCCTAAAAGTACTTAATCGAAACAAAAGTTGAAATTTTCTAAGTCGAAATTGATAGTGTTACGTATTGTGAACAAAATTCAAAAAGTTATTTTTTTTATACTCGAGATCATGCCTCAGTCAAATTTCATATTCCTCCACTTTGTCCTTGTGAAGTGATACCTGGATTTTAAAGAGAATAAAGGAGCTAAAAAATAAATATAAAAAAAGGCAATTATAAAGTAAAAGAATCAAATAAATAAATATAAAAGAAAACAATAATAAAAGATATAAAAGAATTGAATAAATATAAAATAAATATAAAAAGATAAAAAAAGTATATAGAATAAAATAAATATAAAAGTAGCAAACAAAAAAAAGTAAATAAAAAAACTTTTTAGTTTAATTAAACCAACAGTTTATTTATTTAATATACCTTGTGGTAGTTACTCTAATATTACTACCTTAAGAAATTTAGTCAGCTGATAAGAGTTTAAATCAGGTGCAACACGAGAAAGTATACGTAAAGGCTCTATACAATACAAAAAATAGGCATAACTTGAAATATTGCCTATAAAGCTACCTACTGCGCATTAATAAAAAATGTTTCTTATAAAATTTTAATATTAATTTAGTCTTAAAATGTTTACTAATATTAAAACTATACTTTTAATCCTATGATAAAAGCCTTAAGCAAAAGTTTTTAAGTTGATAGCCGTTAGAACTTTATTTGTAATTTAATCACCAAAAAAATAAATATTATCGTGTTCAGATAGTTGATCTCATTCTATTGGTATCACTTTTAAACTTGTAAGAAGGGTAGTTTATTTTTTGCTGACACGAAAAGGCATTTTTTCAAAATTGGTATTACGTTAACTAGATTTTTTAAAGAAATATGCAGAGTTAAGTACATATCAATGCATATATACATATGATGAGATCATCTCCAGCATTCTAAATTGGAGTAAATTTTGGGAGGTTAATATGTGCAAAAAAATTTTATTGCAGCACGGACAAATCATTTGGTAAATTTTGATCACCCCCTGTAATAATATTTAATTTAACATCACAATATGTAATAAAAATTGTAGATAATGCTAAAATCGGATAATGCAAAATTTGATAACGATTAGAAAATATAACCCTACGAAAATCTATCTATGCTCTTTTATTAACAACTCTAATCTAAATACTAACAAAATTTTAGCATCACATTAACTATAACAAAAATTGATATAAAATTTATCTAATGCTTGACCGTAATATTCATCAGCTAAAATGCATCCAATTCCACAGCCATGGATATGTTGAAACTCAACAAAATGTCCACAATCTTGCTTTACGCAAATAAAAAGTTCTTCAAATAACTTTTGATATGTATTTGCTATTTGAAGAATAGTGAAAGCACGTGCAAATACTAAAGCTTTTAATATAATTATTAGTATATTTGAAATATATGCTGGGTTTGTAGTATAAATTTTTTAAGCTACAAATTAAATTTCAAAATATAATACAGTCGAAATTTAAATATTGGATTTGTCAAAGTTCACTTATTTTCGATATTTTTCTACATATGCATATACTTCCCATTCATTAATCGGCCCATGGACATGTTTAAAACTCATATCTATTTCGAAATACAAAGAATCTGCCAAGTATTTCATTTAATTCTTATATCCTCATAATATTAAATATTGACCATTGTCAAAAAACCCTAAAAAAAAAAAAAAAAATTAATATATATTAATTAAATATAAAATTAGTTATATATTTATATACTTACAAATTGATCTAATATAAGGATTATTATTATTATCTTGCTTTTGTTTCAAAAGCATATTTGCAATACCCATAATATCTTGACCATATGGGTGTTTAGCATAACGCTTTGTTGCAATCATATGCTCAATTTTAGACCTATTATTCAACGATGGATGTAGTTCTGAAAGTGGAACTCCTTTAAGAAATCGTTGTATTGATGTACCTAATATATTTAAAAATATATAGTATAATTTTTTTTTTTTTTTGGTGTTAAGGTGGCCTCTTGGCCGGCTCCTTTTATTCGGTTATAGTTAACTTTTACAA